GCAGAGAGGATTGGAGAGTTGGAGAAGGCGCTAAGAGAAAGCATGAAAACATCAGCTCATAGAGAGACGCTGTGGGCTGAGGAGGAGGCCGCCCGCGTTCAGGCTCAAGGACAGGTTAAATCATGAAACCCAAAGGACTTTGAGTGTTGATTGGTCTCTTTTTTCCCTTTTCTGTTTGAATAATATAATCTGAAGATGTGGCAGTGGCCAAAATTTACATGCATGTGAAAATTTTTGATGGAATTGAACTGTTCAATCGGTTTGTTTTTTTGTGCTTTGAAAGTTAGGTTCTCCAGCTTAAAGGAGGAAATAAAAGTTTTTCTTACATTTCTAACCATATTATGTACTCAAATAGATGTGTTTGCTTTTCGTAAAGTTTTCCGTCAGAATTGCATTTTTTATGTTCATGCTTCTGGAAATGGCTGTGTAGGTGGTGGGAAAGACGAAAAGTGAAAAGGAGTCTGTTTCCTTCTGGTGTGAGTGTGCATTTGAATGAGAATGACCTTGCGTTGCTTATGATTGCCACAAGAAACATGAGAGCAATCAGTGGTTTTCAGCCAGAACTGTAGCTGTATGTCTTTAACATACATACAGTACACATGCTCCCGGTTATTTGCACATACGGCTGCCTCGCAACTGAAGCCTGTAGTGGAAAATTGAACAGATGAGGAGAGTAGATCATGGCTTGGCTGGACTTAACTGGAAAGACAGACTATGGCTGTCTGTCTTTCCAGTTAAGTCCTTGCACCTTCAGCATGTGCTTTGTTTTATAGAAAGGTTTTTGCATGCCATTGTTTTAGACACATGCACAAAAATGTGTGTTTCGAAATTATTTTTTACCTAGCAAATACCTTAAAGCTGTGGTACTTAACTTTCAAACCACAAAATAGGGAACTATAGAATGAAATCCATAATTTCCTGCACTAAAAATAGTTTGGTTCTGTTATTAGTTTTTACATGTGTATTTATTTCCTTATTGTTTATTTGGTTGGGACATCACTCCGGATTGTAGCCATGGGCTAATTTGCATCCGTTGTCCCACATTCACACTCACAAACACACAATCATTCATTCATTCACCTTGACCTATTATACATGTTTTTAGTGGTAGGGGAAACCGGAGTATCCGGAGGAAACCTACGCAGACACAGGGAGAACATGCAAACTCCACCCAGAATGGCTCTGTTCCGACCAGGAGTCGAAACCGGAACCTTCTCGCTGAGAAGCGAGAGTGCCACTCAGTCTCTGTCACATAGTTCAGCCTTTTCAGACAGAAAGGTGAAAACGATATGTTCACTCTTTCTCAACCAATCAGAAGGCTCTTCCTTACAAAAGTACAAAAGACAGCATGTTGTTTGTCTGACTTTTTCACAGTGTATTACTTTTACAAGACTCATTCTATTGCATTCTGTTGCAATAGACACATTCTATTGCTGGCATGATTCAAGGAGTAATGATTTTAAAGAAGTAACTTTATATCATGAAGTGCACAGAACGTGGAAAATCCCTACAATTACCCTGCTGGCTTAACAATCAGGAATATATTAACCTGTCCCCACTTACTGACCCTAACAGCCTTTTCATCCCCTCCACTTTGAAACTCAGCGACTCCACTTGACGCATATTGAGCCAGAAAGGACTTGCCGTCCCAGTGTTGACACTCAGGAGTCACCAGTGTTGCCCCTGCTCTCTCAGCTGCTCTGTCGCTGTGATGCGCGCTGACTAGGTGCTGCCTGTCAACGCACTTAGCATCGAGAGACCTGTGACATCACCACCTGAAGAGGCAGCTCCAGTCAACATGCCATTACCGTGCTGTTACACGCTTGTCAGTCATCTGCGTCCTTGCCTCTGAAGGACTTTGGAAAATGAGTTGAAGAAGCTGAAACATCACCTGATCCTGGCAGGCTTTCAGAGCGCCCTGCCAGATCCACATTCTCACATATTACCCCCTCCTCCCTCCCCGCGCTCCCTTCTCTTGATTTCCATTTCCCCCCTCCGTCTCAGAGTAATCAGTCTCATGATGTGTAATGCGCTGAAAGTCTTCCATCAGCCTGACCTGCTGAAATGGACCATGGGTAATGCCTGGGGTCACTTTTCTTCACAACCCCATCCTCATAGTTTTTTCTTTGCTTGTCTGAAAAGCCTTATATAGGCTTTCCTGAGAAGTCAGCCACTTCAACGTCAGTGTGTGAAGTGAAAATAGATGATTCTTAGTAAGTTGGCACCTTTTTCCCGCAAATTGATTTCTACTGGAAAAAAGTTTACATCACCTTGTTTAGATCAGGACACAAAAGAATGTCTGGTGGAAATCTACCTTGCACTTTCTTTTGTATATATGTTGTTATCTTCTATATTAATCCTGACCATTTGTCAGAAAGAATTATTATCTAAAAACTAGTATTTTCTTTTTTTGTCTTTGCTATTACCTCTATTATTTTATGTCTCTCCAGTCTTCTTGTGGCATTTCAACTAGCCCTTTGAACTACCAGCGCCAACGCTAATGGACAAGAAGGATTTGGCCCTTACCTCTGAGCCCTCAATCAGCTTAGCACGTAAAGGGGCTTTGGGGTTGTCTTAGCGAGCCTTAGCCTGGCTGGGGGACTTTGCCTTGAAGTTGAGCTAAATTAGCACGCACAGGCTGGATGCTAAGCTGATTAGGTCCCTAATTTCACTAAAGTGCATTGTATTCCCTATTAATGATGTGATCGTGATGTGATGGTGAGCCAGGCCGGTGGGTTATAAAGGCTGAAGGGTGACAAGGGTCTTTGCTGGAGGATTGATGGACATGGGGTGCAATAAGAGTTATGTGTGAACGACCTTTAACATTTTCAAATCCCTTTTGATTCCTTAATGGTCAAAGGAAAACGGAATGTGCATGAAGGCTACAGCTGTGTTTATATTAGCTATACTTTTAATTCCATTTTGAAGAGGATATAACATGTATTCTTTTTGAATAAATATACGCTTATATTACCAGTGAACTTATGAAGGCTGTCATTCCCCATAATTTAGCATTTTATTAGACTTATGTGTCTGCATCATTTGCAGAGGCTACAAGAATATTGCATATGGGATTTAGTTGGATTTAGTTTGTTGGTAACATAAAAAAAGATCGCATTTACAATTGCTGTAATTAAAACAGTGCCACAAAGGGCGAGGTCATTAATTATCTTAAGGATCTATCTGAATATCTAAATGAAAATGAATAAATGAATCCTTCTTGTATAGGGAGGGTGATCCTTAAAGGGTTAAAGCTGGGGAACCTATCTCTCTACCCAGAATAGGTGGAATTGCAAAGTGAAATATATCTATCCTTTATTTGTTATAATGTTGAAAATAAAACATTTCAGAAAATTGTCATAATCATCAACATTATAACAAAAAAAGGCTGCATTTGATGAGTCTATATAATTTATTGATTCAACCTTTTTAGTTGAATGCAAAAATAAATGAACTTTTAAATGATATTCTATTTTTGTGAGTGCCACCGGTATAAAATCCATCTCACTTGCTCAATACGCAGTTTGGTCCTATCACTAGTGTTCACATTTATGTATAACTTTCTTTTAACATCTGTCACATCTTTAGTTCACAGCCCTCAAGAGTAAAATAGTGACTGACAGGGCTCTTTCTTACAAGTATGCAACAGATGAACACAGCATGTTGTGGTCTGATTTGCACATATTCTGTTGGGGCAAAAAAACATAGTTATGCAAATTGAATGCAACCCTTACTATTACTTTGCAGCCGCTTCGATGACACTTCCACCTCTGGATTGGAGTCACTCTTTTCTCAACCCTTGTGTTACGCATGGAGAGTTACTGAACACATTATCTGACATCTGTGAAACACACCTAGAGATAGAGCATCCTGAAAATGTGTGAACAATTTGGCTGCTTCATAAAAAAACACCCAAAGATTTTTTCCATCCTTTACCCCATGGAGTGCTTTCCCACTGCCATGTTGTACAGTATGTTTGCACTTTTGCTTTTATCATGTGGTTAACGACACATAGGGTAACGCATTGACACTTACTCTGCAAACTGGCCTGTAATTTTGGTACTTTCAAGTGCTCTACTGCTTTCGTAGACCTCCCTTGTACCTTCTATTTGTAAAATCTTTGTTTTCAGACAATTATCCACTTCCTGTCTTGTGATAATGATCCCCTGAGGTCACATCCTGTTTGTGGGATCTTAAGGTGGTGTAAGTTGGACACAGGACTGAGTGGCTGCAGGGCATTTGAGCTCAGGAGGAGGGCAGAGGTGTAATTTAGGGGTTGAGTCTGATTCTCACCTGCTTTCAAATGGACCCATGGACAGGGGGCTGTAGAACGGAAATGGAGGGTTGATTATGGTTAGAGAATGTGTATAATGACTTAACTCTTCTTTGTTCATTAGAGCTGGAGAACCTAACTAGTTTTGTTTCATAAATGCATGTTTTTCCCAACAGAAAGTATTTAAGTAACATTTTGTCAACAAATCATACCTTGACATCTTATTAGAAAACATGTTATTTTTCAGAGGGCTGAGTGACTGCTACAGTACTGGATATGTATTTCACTGTCTTTTTTTCTACTTTCTAATTCCCGTACTCCAACTTTAATATAGATGAAACGATTGTGCTGATATACAAATTACAGCTATCTGACCCAAATACCTGAAAAAGTCTGAATCTTGACAGTTTTGGAAAAGTTTAACTGTTTTTGGCACCACATTTTGGTGCTTGTACAGCCTGGCCAAAGTCAGTGAAAACACGGAAGGTAGTAGTAAAAGCATACATAAATACATAAATCTTAATTTCAGATTATGTCAGAAAACAACAATTATGTTTGGCGTCAACTATTCTAAGTTTATTTATTCTGTCAGTGCAGTTTCACACCCATGACCTTTTTACAGACAGTTTTTAGCACTTATTTTTTCTAACCGTATTAAAGTAACTACACAACTCCACAACTATACTTAAATTCTTCCTGTTGTATATATTTGGACTCTTTTGGACAGTTGGAGGAGCTGATGAGGGCATTGGAGAAGACCCGCGAGGAGCTTGATGCCACCAAGATGCGCCTGTCTACCACTCAGCAGTCTTTACACGAGAGGGACGGGCATCTCACCAACCTACGTCAAGAGAGGAGGAAACAGCTGGAAGAAATTCTAGAGATGAAGTAAGTCAAACCTACTATACACAAACACATATTCTTTATTCTTTCTCCAACCTCTCTGCCACCTACTCATAGAAATCTTAAAATCCTGAACACATTGACACAAACCACACAAGTTGCGCACTAGATGCATTGCCCTTCATAGTGTTATATCCTGTCGTTTTTTACTTGTACCAGAGCATAAGCATTTGTATCCACTCACCTGGTAACATGTGCATCTCCGTCTATACAGACATCAGGGCTGAGGTGTGTTTTGAAGCTGAATTAGCTGTCATATATAGCTGTCTTATGAAAGGTTACATTTATTGAGGACAGGTGGTGCAGCTACAGTATAACAGAAGGATCGAAAACACAGTATGTCCAAGTCTTTTCTTTTCTGCGGACAAGTCAAAAAAGCATGTGGTTTGGTGGGAATGTTTAAATGTGTGAGCGAGTTCAGTGATCTGTCAGTGGAGCACTACATATGTGTTTGCTTTGAGCTCTTTGATTGAAGGAGCATGGAGGCACATATCTGGTTGTCATGTGCTGCTAAGAAATGCCTTTAATGTCAGCTACTCAGAACAGTACAAAAGGGGAGCCTGGCACATATATTGAAAACACAACTTTATTCTGCTCCAGTGTGCCCCGCAGGCCCCTCTAACACAAAGGTACTGAGCTTGTCTATGCGTTTACTGCTTCAGTAAAAAGCCACCTGTGTCTGCACATAGTCATGTGAGTCAAACGTCTTTTTTGATTTAGGTTTTGTTTTTGATCAATATGTGGATGTCATAATGTGTATGTACTGTTGATTTGTACTAAACCTGCAATAGAACCAAACACCCAGGCAGACAGTTTTCCTTTTTAGCCAATACATGTTTTCATCTAAAACTACATCCTCTACAAATTTGTAATTATTATAATGTCATGAGTTGAATACCTTTCCATGAGGGCCTGTAAGTCATGATTATATTGCCATTAGCTTGGAAAATAGGCCAGTCCTTGTGATGGTTGGTTGACATACATAGCAACAAGTCAATATGACTCTACTTTGTGCCCTGACTGGAGGTCTCTACTGTCTACAGGGGCACCAGCCTGTGTGTGGTCCCCAGGGCTTTGGACTCAGTGTCTGTATGTACGGAGAGGTCAGAGCCAGAGGTTCAGGGTCACTAGTGATGAGGATTAAAGGACTGTTGAATTGCTAAGGGGCCAGAGCTTCATGACTTACATTTGAACAAGCCACAAAGATCTCAAATGTAACCACATTCTCAGATACAATCACTCACATCTGAGAACAAATGTTTTTGAATGGGGCTTTGTTACCCATGGTCCAGATTGTCTCTAGGAAAAGAAATATTAAGGCATGGTGATGTCCATACATGCGTTCCAAAGAAATATAGGTCATCAGACTTTTGTCACTTTCTCCATAGGAGCCGTTTTAATCTATGGCATCAATAATTTAGTCCAGACGTTGTAGCAGTTGTAGACAAACAGAACTCATAACTGATCCTGATAACCGAGCTGTAGTTATTTGTAATGTCACTTGCATCTTGCAATAGAAAATATTTGTTACATTCTTAGCCTAGTCTATAGTATACACCAAATAACATAACATTGACGTTTTGTACATATAAGTCCATTATTATTTTTTTCAATCGCAACTATGGCACCTGTGCAGGAATTATAAAGATCTGAAATCAGAGAGTGAAAGAATGAACAGTGAGAAAGGGAATGAGGGGTGCAAACATGAAACTATTTCAAATCTCAGAAATCATGAGAGAAGTTTGATTGTGAGCCAAGTTCTCATTCTTTTCTCTGTAATGTTGCGTTTATCAAGACGACCAGCTGAGGCCATGAGAAGCACATTTCCCAGTGAAGCAGAGAGCTCTGTGCTGTGATGTGTGTAAGCCGGAATGACAAAGACTCGGCGTTTCAACACTCAATGAAAGACACAATAGGAACAGTTTTTGCAACTGCATGCTATTATGAGTGGCTCCACATCGTATGGAGCCACTCATAATAAGGTTAGACATTTTTAATTGTGTTTTAGTTGTATTGAAAATGTCTTCAAAAATATGTGGTGAATTTTACATTTTTTTTATCTACTGTAGTTTTTCATGACTTTATGAATTGAGCATGTACTGTATTTGTGCATGTAAGGTCTGATCAAAGTGATTATCGCAGTAGTTTCAATCCTTTTGAGTACAGCGTTGGAGAGAAACCCAATACTTGCACCAATAATGCTTATTTAGAATACTCATTTTGAGTAAATGTATTTAGTAGAAAAATACTTTTTTTGGGGTGTTATTCTGAATACATTTACATTTTTTAATAAAAAAGGAGGAATTAAGGAAAGCATTTTCATATTTGATCTTGCAATTTAAGATTAACAGAGAATAATATTGTATTGTTATTGTTATTATTTTTTATATCATGATTTTTAGTGTGTTCTACTATTTTTTTAAACTAACGATTTTGGAGAATTCAGTTGCAACTGTGCAATACCAAAACTGCGTTAATACTACATGCCACACTTTTACACTATAATATTATGTCAATTCAAGTATTTGAAGTATTCATTATACCATGTAACTAAATATGTTATACATTTTAAAGCAGGTATTCAGTATTTGCACAGTATTTCCTCCAACACTGCCAGAGTACAATGCTATAACTGTCTTACAGTTTTGAATTAAAAGTATTCTACACAGACTACAGAGTCAGATTCCCGATGTCTAAGAGGAGCATTAGGGCTCAGTTCTATCTGGCCACACCATATTGAGTTTCCATTGCCCTGCTTTGCATTCACACACACACACACACACGCACACACACACACACGCATACACACACACACATGGTCTGTAGGAGCAACCCATTAACATGGTTTGGGGTCCTGCGGTGGAGCTGCACAATAGAGAAATTATGTGTTTGGACATTTTGAATAGCCCATCATTGAAATGTTGCTTTTGTGTGAATGGGATAACACAACATGCCACAACATTGCACTGGCTTACTGAACCTGATCCTGCGGTAGACACATGGAATGTTGCGATAGAATCTGTTTACATTTTACAGACCGACAATGATAACATATAAAGAGTGAAGATTTTCCTCTCGCAGTATATAGTAGTAGTATAGCAATATTGGACGGGGTAAGGAGCACCACCATAAGGACAGTTGGGGAGGAAATGGTAAATGATGGAAAAAGGGAGAGATGAATGTGAGGAGGATGGGATGAGGAAGGGAGTGATAGAAGAAGATGAACAATGAGGTCAACATGCACATGTGTAGTCAAAGTAAATGAGAAATACATTAAAACAAATCAACATGTTGACCCAAGCCCTTGTCTCAGTTGAAATAAAATGCTTGCAAGAAAAGAAAAAATATAGACAACTAAAACAGGCCCTCGTTCCGAAGCCAGTGAATTGAGCATTTGAATCAATGAAAACCCTTCGTAGAAGAAATATATTACAGGGCAAGTTTAAATATGTTTAGCAATGGATTATTGTTTTTTGTCCAACCAGTGACTTGGTGGGGGACTTGAAAAAAAAAAAACATCCCGGATCACTCAGTCCTATCTTTAATGTTGTATTATTTGTTTTATGTGGAAGAATGTAAAGCTCTGGTGAATATTGTGAGCAATTTAAAATTGTGAGCGCTGTCGTGCTGAGTCATAGTCATCATCTTCACATTAGAGCTGATGATACGAGACCACATTTAATCGCACAAATCTACTCTTGTTATGTGAACGTTTGTCTGTTTTGCTGCCCACTCACAGTTCCTCATGGCATAATGAAGCTTAAAGTGGAAGCAACATTATGACTTTAAAATCCTCATTGTAGACGTCCAGTCTGCAGAGCACCTTTGCCATGGTAACGCTGACTAAACACTGAGACCAGCTGCACTGGCAAGGTCATGTCCCAGTCAGGAGTCTCTGAGGGCACTGGACTCACAAATGTAGGAACTACGTGAACCAATACACTGCACACATCTGACGCTGCTGTACAGGCTTGTGGCATTACAGTCCCATTGTTGTGATAGGTCATGATGAGCCGTGAAGAGCTCACACATGAGTAGAAAGGATTCTGTGTGCAGCGCTGATGAGGCAGCCCTGACCACACATGGCCTTCCTCTCTCTCTTCTTGAGTTTGTGTGTGTGCCGCCTCGTGGGAACTTCAGGCCATTCATCATGTCTGTCTGTGCGCCGCTGCCCTCTGACATCCGTGTTTACCTTCCACATATGTGCAGGCCGCGCGCCCTGTAGGTGTGTTATTATGTCAGGACCAAAGCATGCTCCACCCTGCACCTCCTTCTCTGCTCCACTTTGTCAATGGAGGGCTTCATCACCTTCAAATCGCTGGCACTGAGCAGTAGCCTGCTTGATATATTGATATACAGTATGTAATATCAACCTGGCTTCTGTGTTGCAAGGGAACCCTAAAATCTTTTGTCCCGCAGAAGGCTAGCCTAACTAACCCTAACCATAAACTATTCATAACATTAGCCATAACCTGATTGTGTCTCTTAAACACACATTTTATGTGAATTTTCCTTTTTCTCTGGACAAAACTCAAATTTTTTAATAAGTCAAGTATTACAAGCGTCAAGGAATATTAAAATCAATTAAGTTCAATTAAGTGCCCAGGGACCCATCTCTAGATGTTGATGGAATATGGATAAGGTTTTGGAACAACTCTATCAAGCACATCATTTGCTCTGTGACAAAAGAACATTAATTTCTTTGGGAACTGTGTCTTGCATATCCTTGTAAATCTTTAAAAGGGGTTTACGCCTTTGTTCGTTTGCCTTATCATGTCCCTGGGAAGGTCTGGAATTTATCACACATACCTAATAATTATTATCACAGGAAATGGCCAGAGGAAGTAGGTGTACAAGCCCTGCTAATTAGTGTCCGTCGCAAACACATATACATTTTCACAGCGCTAATGGGTGTCATTGGAGGCAGTTGAACGTTTCAGACAAGCACAATCTGATTGCCCTAAGCAGCCTGACACCCCCAATAG